GATTTTGGTGCTATCTGCATGTACCTAACCACACAGAATATTGATTGGCAGGTATGTATTTGGAGTTACTCATATTCCTCGACTAGAAGACTGGCCTGTCATGCCAGTGGAACGCATTGGTTTCATGCTTACGGTTTTTCTCTCATTCTAACTTGTTTTTACTCTAAGTTGTTGAAGTAACTATTTGCACCCAAGACTGGTATTTTTGAATTTAAAGTTGGTGCGTTGACAATTTTTTTAATTTTTCTTTTCTGAATTTATATTCATATGTGAAAAGATGATAGTTGAAAATAAAAATAATATTTGAAAAGAGTAATAGTGAAAGCGTAGTATTAATTTATAAATATCTTTTTAGCTTTGCCCCTATGGGGCTCTTCTTGTAGCCTTTGAACCCTCACCCTCTTGCTAAAGAAGGGAGGAACAACTAGTAGACCAACTCTTAGTGGTTATGAGTTCTTAGTTACACTTAGTACCATACATACATGTCCTATATACATATTTTATAGTTAAACTTGAATTTAAAAAATAAAAAAGAATATTAATTTACAGCAAATGGAGTCTAAACCTTTTGTTTTCATAGACCATGCTTCTAAACATTGTGGACTTAGAAAGAAAATTAACAAAGGAGAGAGGAAAGCGTGTGACTGTTCTTGTTCTAGTTGTTATGTAATTCACATTCCAGTAGTATTCATGGTTAATTTACATTATTTTAATGTAGTATGTAAAAATTTGAAGTTTCCAATATCAAATAAGAAAACTAATCCTTTCTCCGAGGAATTGATAATTCGAGTTTGGGTCTTATCCCTTTCTTTGTTTGGAAAAGAGAAAAAAAAAAAAAAAAAAGAAACTCATAAATTTGCTTCTATGCAGGGTTGAGACACCCCTTGAGCCTTAGATCCCAAACTTTATCCCTCAAAATGTGGACATATATTTGCTTTGAAATTGATTAGCAGTCGTGATTCTTTATTCTTTTTCTGTTTGTGATGCAGCCACACGGATTCTTTAACTGCTCACCTGCTGTAGACGTCCCTCCAAGTGCAAGTGATTTGGATATAAAGGAAAATGGGATTGCGTCGAAGCCTCTGCAGAGTGGGCTCCTCTCAAAAATCTGAAATTTTCATATGTGTGGGAGATTAATCCTTAGTTATAGAGTAATGGTCTTTTTATCATATTCATGCGGACGCCAAAAATTCTATTTAAAGAAATCCTGTATGATTCCGAGAAGATTTAATTTTAATTCACTTGTTTTCCTCTCTGCAATTTTTATCAAATAATTGAGTTGTTGAACTAATACTGGGCACCGTATGGACATGACATTGGAACATGGGTTAGTATATTGCATTTAGATAGGTCGTGGGTGGTAGGGCATTTCTACACTAGTCAAAAGTATTTTTTTGAGGCATTAATGTCTCGTGATATTGGGTATCTATGTTTAATCCGATTGCAACATATGGGTGTGAAAAGGAAGAATCATTAATGAAGGATTGCAAAATATTCATCTTGTTGGACATTCAAGTTTAACAAATAAATAGTTTGATATTTTTATTCTTACAGAAAAGAAGAAGAAGAAGAAAAAAAAAGATATCAAGCAGATTAAATTATAAATGAAAAGGGTGTTTAAGCATTGTGTTGTGTTATGGGTGAAGTCTGTTATGACTTGGGACTCTTGAAAGACTTTTTATAAATGACATTTGTATTTATTAAGCTATTAATATTTTATACTAACAGATGAATAACTTTTCCTTTTATTTTCTCTTCTATGAATGTAGTATTATTTACGTTACACAAATCTTAGAAAAGTTGTATAAATGTTTTCCTACTTCCAACATATAAATTTGAATTTACGCAAAAAAGGGAAAAAAAAAAAAACAAGTAATTTTATTTGTATACCGTTAGAAGAAATAATTGTTATTTAATTTATGTTATCTTATTAAATGTAATCGACAAAATTACATTCGGTCTACTATAAATAATATTGAGACGTACGACTTCATGCAAAAATCGTTTTTTCAGTATATAAATGATTGAGTAATGTCTGGATAATATTTCCATTCATTTGCTTGGATTTTTTTTTATTTTTTCCTAAACCTAGTTGAGGTGCTTTTATAATTGAAAAGAAAAACTAAAATGGTTTGTTATACATAAACCATATAGATTGGAGTACATTTGTTTTGACATCAATGAAAGAAATAATTCTCTTAATCCCAATCTAACATCTGTATGATGACATTAAATTTGGTGCTATAAAAAAAAAAAAAAAAAAATACACCATAAAAACCAACTTCACAATGTGTGAAGAAATAGAATGGATTAAATACTGGAGGTTTACCAAATCATTTTCAACAAATAAGTAGGATGAGGTCATTACTTTTTATTTCTAATCATAAGAGGTTTTATGTTGAAGAAAAAAAAAAAGAAAAAGTTCAGCCCTTTAAATTATGATGTTTGACAGAAGAAAACCAATTAAAGAGAGAGTTTTGGACCAGACATGTAAAAAGTTGGATTCGACTTAAAATTACAAAATAACATAAATTATTCTTCTATCACTGTCGCTGTTTATTTATAATAATAATTAGTATTATTATTATTATTTAATTCACAAAACAAATTATTAAATTCAGTTCCCTTCGTCTCCTCCCTGACTTCCCAGAACGCAAACGACGATTTACTAGTAAACGGAATGACCCGTACACAAACCTCACGCGCTTTCAAAGTCCATCACCAAACACAATTTCCCAGAAGAAGAAAAGCCCCTTTTCCACCACTAAGCTGACTGGACTTGGACTCAA